CACAAACCCCCCTTAGGAGTGCCCGGGGCGCCCCTGCCGGAAGATCTACAAGAGCTACAGCGGGATCGAGTACCACCTCTACCACTATGACCACGACAACCCCCCCCCGCCCCCGCACACCCCCCTGCGCAAGCACAAGAAGAAGGGGCGCCAGGCCCGCCCTGCCAACAAGCAGTCCCCCAGCCCCTCCGAGACCTCCCAGTCCCCGGGCCGGGAGGTGATGACCTACGCCCAAGCCCAGCGGATGGTGGAGGTGGATCTCCACGGCCGCGTCCATCGCATCAGCATCTTCGATAACCTGGACGTGGTGTCTGAGGATGAGGAGGTGCCTGAGGAGGTGCCCGAGAACGGGAGCAATAAGGAGAACACAGAGACACAGAGTGTCCCACCGAAATCTGGCAAGCACAAGAACAAGGAGAAGCGCAAGGACTCCAACCACCACCACCACAACGCCTCGGCTGGCACCACTCCCAAGCTCCCCGAGGTGGTGTACCGGGAGCTGGAGCAGGACACCCCCGATGCCCCGCCTCGCCCCACCTCCTACTACAGGTATTGTCCGGGACTGGGGTGTGAGGAGGCACGTGGGCAGCTCTGGCTTGTGCCTGGGGTCTGGAGGTGGAATTGGCTCCATTCTGTGTATGGCTGATGGAAATGGCCTCTGCCTGCCTTTCCCAGGTCCCGTGGAGCTGGCCATGCCATGGCTTCAGGCTCTCAAAGCTCTGTCCTGGTTTTGAGGGGTCCGTGCACCTGCAGAGCACTCTTGGATTACTAGCAGTTGGGTTGCTGTGCTCTTCCTTTGCTGGGACAGCAACATGGTTACAGCAAAAACAGACTCTGTCCTCCTGTCTTCCCCACCACTCTTTAGAGGTGTTCTGGGATAGCTACAGAGCACCTCAGCACCAACTTTTACCCATCAGATGTGTCTGTTTGCAGGCTTATTGTGTCTTTGTTGTCTGGTGTTTTTTCCATGAGTGGCATGGTGAGTGCAGTGGCCCAAAATAATACTTCAAGTTCGGAGTTAATATCGAGCCAAAGTAGGGTTTGTACGGCCACCCTAGCTGTCCTAGTTGCCAAGTGCCCTGAGAAACCAGCACTGCGTTCCAGGGGGATGTGATTTTGTGTCAGGGTATTAGAAAAGAAACCTCCCTGAGATGTCTGACATGGCAGGGGGTGGTTGCCATCAATTGCAGCAGCGGCCTCGGGGTTCCACCTCTTTCCTCTCTGAATAACATCCCCTCACCTGCCACTCAGAGTGAAAGAGAAGAGGGTGCAGCCACCCTAACCGGGATTAACGAATCGTGATGCCTCTGTGCCTGGTTCCTGTTGTGTCTTGGGCACAAGACCACTGTCTCCAGAGCATCTGGCACCTGCTCAGTGGCTTGTGCAGGCTCCAGTCTTGTGCTGATGACTCCCCAAGGCCCGTACCTTGCTTGTTAGATGAGGTTAATTGTGTTTGTGTTGTGCCTCATGCGCTGTTGTGCTGCTGCACTGCTCAGGGTGCAGCAGCACCTCCTGGCTCTGCACCTTCCTGTTCTGTCCCTGCTTTTTTAATTTGACTTATGGCTCAACTATGTGTTAGAGTCCTGCAGGAGTTAGGATTGAGCAGCTCCCTGGCCCTGTGGGTCATGCCCTCACCCTCCTGTGCTATCATTCCAGGTACATCGAGAAGTCAGCAGAGGAGCTGGATGAGGAGGTGGAGTACGACATGGATGAGGAAGATTACATCTGGCTGGACATCATGAACGAGCGGCGGAAGACTGAAGGCGTGAGTCCCATTCCCCAGGAGATCTTTGAGTACCTGATGGACCGGCTGGAGAAGGAGTCCTACTTTGAGAGCCACAACAAGGGGGATCCCAACGCCTTGGTGGATGAGGATGCTGTCTGCTGCATCTGCAACGACGGGGAGTGTCAGAACAGCAACGTCATCCTCTTCTGCGACATGTGCAACCTGGCTGTGCATCAGGAGTGCTACGGGGTGCCCTACATCCCGGAGGGACAGTGGCTCTGCCGACGGTGCCTGCAGTCGCCCTCGCGAGCTGTGGACTGTGCTCTCTGCCCCAACAAGGGGGGGGCCTTCAAGCAGACAGATGACGGGCGCTGGGCACACGTGGTCTGTGCCCTCTGGATACCCGAGGTGTGCTTTGCCAACACCGTCTTCCTGGAGCCCATTGACAGCATCGAGCACATCCCGCCTGCCCGCTGGAAGCTGACCTGTTACATTTGCAAGCAGCGTGGCTCTGGGGCTTGCATCCAGTGTCACAAAGCCAACTGCTACACCGCCTTCCACGTCACCTGTGCCCAGCAGGCCGGGCTCTACATGAAGATGGAGCCCGTCCGGGAGATGGGGGCCAATGGTACCTCCTTCAGCGTGCGCAAAACTGCCTACTGCGACATCCACACGCCGCCGGGCTCGGTCCGCAGGCTTCCCGCCCTCTCCCACAGCGAGGGGGAGGAGGAGGATGAGGAGGAGGAAGAGGAGGGGAAGAGCTGGAGCTCTGAGAAAGTCAAAAAAGCGAAGGCCAAGTCTCGGATCAAGATGAAGAAGGCGCGGAAGATCCTGGCGGAGAAACGAGCCGCGGCACCCGTGGTTTCTGTGCCCTGCATCCCCCCGCACAGGTACGACCTGCTGCCCTCCCTTGACTGTGGAGAAGTGTCTCCCTTTCTTTGTGCCTTGTGTCCCACTTTCCACATGGGCATTACCGCCTTCCACTCCTTAGCTTTTCACACAGGTGCTTTTTGCTTTGTTCTCGCTGTTGGTGGTTTCCTCTGGGAGTCCTGCAGAGGGGCAGGGTGATGTGCTGCCCCACAGAGGTGTCTGGGCCCTCGGTGGGGCAGGAAATCGCTGCTGTTAAACTAACGGCAGAGAACAAACTAGGCCGGATGCATCAGGAAGCAGCTGGGGGTCCCCACTGCTCCTTTCCTGTTGTGCTGACCTCAGATGTTGGAGTCAGTGGAGAGGGAGGAGGGGAAAAAGGGCTGCTCTCCTTTCTGCCAAGGTTTGTTTTCTCCTAGAGTTGTGCAGGGGGAAAAAAGAGAAGTGTGGGAGGGATTCAGGCCTGGGAAATGCATGAACCCTGGTGGCTGTTGTGGCTCTGGAGCAGAGAGGTCTTGTGTTGGGATCCCCGGGTCCTGCTGAGCACATCCCAGCAACTGCTTACCCCTTGCTGGGCTTCCTCAGTGTTTTGTGCCAGTGACAGGCAGCAGCTCTGCCTTGGTGCTGCCAGTGGGGGGCTGGCTGGAGAGGACCAAAATGTCCTCAGCCGCATGCAAAAGCACACAGAAGCATCTTAGGGCAGTTTTGGATCTCGCCGTGACTCTGTGCAGGCATCCCAAAGGGGAAGCACAGCTTTGGTATGCAAGCATTTGTCTTCACAGTTTTGAACAACTACCCCGAGCTGCTGAGCTTTTCTCCTCCCTGTGGCTGGAGCTCTGCCAGGGGTGGAACTCCTGACACCCTGGCATTGTACCTGTGGCCCCTCAAGCACAGTGGTGACAGTGCAGGGACATGGGACCTTGGAGACTGTCTCCTATGTGGTTGGAGGGGAGCAGGGAGAAGCTGTGGGCTTTGCTCTCTGGGCAGCACACTGGTGCCTTGTGGAGGCAGGTCTCTGCTTACAGGGCTGCTGGCTTTTTGCCATGGTCTGTCTGTGTCCTAACCCCGTGTTTTTGCTCACTTGGAGCTTGCTCTGTAGCCAGAACTTCTTATGTGTGGACATGTTGGCAGGCAGTTTGTAGGCTCTTGCTGCTATCATTGTGCTCCCAGCAAAACCCACACTGAGCTAGAAGCTGTTAACCTCTCCCCAGGCCTTCCTGTTGGGATTAATTATTCTTCAAGGGCTGTTGCCAGAATGCCAAATGTCTTCCTGTGGGAGCTGTGCTTGGCTGGCGATAGCACAGGAGGCTGCTCAATTCAGTGGAGGCTGATGTAAGTTGGGTCATCTCCTGTGAGGAGCTGGAGATGCTGGGGGTGCATCATTTAGGCTCCCCA